GAAGGGATTAATGATGGCAATAGCAAATATAGGAAGTATGACACCGACAACAACTTTTCTGAAATTAAAGGGGGTAGCAAGACGAATAGGGTTAAAATAGGAGAAGAGAGAGTAGTAGAGAGAATATAGATTCATCATGGAGGACAGGATGAGGTCTTTGATTTTAATGACAGACAAGGAGAGGTATCTGATCAGTACCGCTCGTTAGAAAAGAGAGAAACTATATGCATGTAGTTTGATTCTTCTGTTGTGAAAATTAGAGGTAGGAATCTTTGGTTCCAGCAGCTCATTCTGTAAGATCAGTGAGGAATCCTGAGGGTCCATGTCTGGTGAGAATTCCAGCAACAAACATGTTAGAGACGGTCGTTCGACCTCTATCAAGGGTGTGTCAGTATTATGCGTTGTCATGACTGTGGTAGCAACAACAATTAGTAACAGATAAAATAATGTCGTTGTCAAAACATTTGTTTAAGCCTAGGTTTAGGTGGTATTGGGTTAAGTGAATTAACTTGTGTGCATTTGTTAGATGGAAAGTAAAATCAGGTAACAGCAAGCCCTGAAGTATTGGAGGTGAAACCAGTGAGGGCTAAAAGTTGTTTGTTCTAATAAAACATATGAGGTAAGGGGTATGTTTATGGGAATATCAGATTGTGATGTTATATGATAACTTTGGGTATGGATGACCTTAAGGGTAGTAATGAGAAATATGTTACTTTTTATGTACCAGTTAGTAGGAACAGCAGGACTTTGATGGTTAAAAGATTAGCTTTTGCCTGACAATGTGACTATGGGGAATTTTAGAGATATTTGGAGGGTTTGTGGTGATAAAGTATATATATTCTTACATTATGGATGGACAGGATGTTGTTACATGTCAACGTTGAAGCTTCCATATGAGGTTTTTACCATTATAAGAGGGATAGCACCGGACACAGCTAAATCTAGGGATGAAAAGAAACATTGCTACATGTCATAGTCTTCAAGCCTATCATTGAAGTATAAATCTAAGGGAGAAGGGGGGACTTTTTCCATGGTATGGTGTAACATTTGGGAAGATCATATTGATAATATTAGGTATACTTTGAGTCCAGATAGTTCAGATAGTTATATATGCATTGAAGAATATAAGGGATGCATTTGGGAGGTCTGAGAAGACTTGGTTGCAAGATCAGTTAGGCCCAGTAGGGGCAGTGATGGGTTACATTTAATGGCAGCTTTGATAACACTGTGATGTTTGTAATTTGTTACTGACCTTTGAGAAAGCTATGATATTGAGATAGGTTGGAGAGTGATGCCTGGAGACAACACTCAGATGCCGGTGTTGACGGTTCCTGATCTGGATAAAGATGGACAAGTGGAACTGAATGGATAAATATCATTTTTGATTATTTGATTTTTCAAAAAAATAAAAAAATAATCAATATTGGGGTGATGTTGGTATGATTTATGAATCAAGGGGGGAAGAGGTTTATGTGATTCATGCATCATTTATATATCATTTTTATATTCTTAGTTGATGTTTATGTTTAATTTGAAAGTGTTTGTTTTGCAAAAGATACTGTTTGGTCGTTTCTTTTTCTTCCAGAAGCATTTGGGGGAACATGTGACTCAAACAAGGACAATATGAAGGGACAATATGAAACGACAATGACTGGAGGAGAGGAAACAAGGAGGGTGTGGCCGATTCCATCATCAACAGTCCATTGGAAGAGGAGACTATGGGGAGATGAAGTGTAGTGGACTACATTCCAGTGTCTGCAATGAAATATAGACATGTGTAATACATAATTTGTGTCATATTCTTAGGGATTAATTTTTGTAGAATGATATTTGATGTTATTGAATACATGTGAGGATCTTAGATGTTTTTGTTTATTTCGTGAATGATTAGGGACAGGGAATTTAGGCAGGGAGAGTTCCACTGTACGGTCCAATGGGTTGACCAGCCTTACAAGTGGATATTTATTGGATAGGATTTTGTTTGCAGGGGCTTACATGTGTATTTAATTGCATCATAGTTTCAAATGCATTTACATGGTTAATGAGTTTATCTGGAGTACCGAAGGTGGTTGCCTGGGGCAGAGGGACCGTGAGAGAATTTTACTGTCTTGATTGATGGATGGAAGGTTGCCGGACAGTTTTTCGCTCTTACTCCATAGAGATTTGTTCATATTTCATAGTAATGTATTCACACTTCATAAAGATAGTAATGTAGTCACACTTCATAAACAGTTATTCATATTTCATAGAAAGGTATTTACACTCTAGAGGAGAATGTTTTTGGTTTAATGTTAAAGATACTCAATAAGATAAATTGTTACTAGTCATAATCCTATTCTGTTTGTTTTCGAGACTGTTCGTCTCGAAGGGGGGAATATCGTATCTGAAGATTATGTCTTTGTTAAATGTTTTTCATGAAGAAATGGAATGTTGTTTACGTTAGTATATGTTTTAGTGTAACGTCATGTACAACAGACAGGAAGTGTGTTGTAGACAGGGGAGACTGGTGATTGGCCAGAAGAGGGAGCTTCATTGTCTATAAAAAGGGGTTAGACTACAGAAAGGGCAGAACGGCCATGGCAATCTGAGGAGCCGTTCTCCGGACACCGCGGGTCTGTACTTATGCTGTAACCTCGTGATTTTAATAAAAGCCTCTAACACGATGCAGCTTGAACGGACTCTTTGTTGACAGCAATAATGGCCACCATTCACCCGATACGACACTGTATTGAAATGAACTTCTTACGTTCCCTTTCTGTCCACTTTCACCTCCACCATATCTATGATAAACATAATTTATTACCAGACATCCAGGGTTTATTCCATGATACTTTGGATAAAAGCGACTTATTTAGAATGTGCAAAGCTGTCATGAAGGCAAAGGGTGGCTATTTGAAGAATCTCAAATATAACATAATTTGATTTGTTTAACACTTTTTTTGGTTACTACATGATTCCATATGTGTTATTTCATAGTTTTGATGTCTTCACTATTATTCTACAATGTAGAAAATAGTAAAAATAAAGAAAAACCTTTGAATGAGTAGGTGTGTCCAAACTTTTGACTGGTACTGTATTTACATACACAGCCCTGATTGGTGGATAGGATCGTCTAGACTCCTTTTTCTGCAGATGGTGATGGGGCCAGAACATAATTACAAATCATTTGTAGACTGCAAATTGACCACAAGAAGCTCAAACCAATTTAATATTTGACTAACACATAATCATTTCAAACCTTGCTTACATTTGTGTATGATCAAATATATATATATATATATATATATATATATATATATATATCTTATGCGTGGGAATGCTTAAAAACAGATTTCCTAAATTAAAATCACTTGGAGCTGATTGGCTGGTGTTTTTACAGTCTTATGTCCTACAATAAAACATTATACCTTATTTTATTTTTTTGCTCAGAAAACTTGGGGGGCCAATCACAACCACCCGCGGGCAGCCAGTTGGGGAACCCTGCACTATAGCCTACCCCACTTAGCTCTTCAACATAAGGGGGATACATATGCAAATAAAAGATGATTGGTCAGATCAGATTGTGATGTCATGCTCTGGGTTAAAAACTCCATCCCACCTGAACAGGCTGAAATTCCAGGCAAAATAATAATAATTTAAAGAAAAAGCTCTTACACTAAAAGGGCATAACTTCCACAATTTCAAAGTGTTATTTCGACCTCATTAAAACTGCCCCTTTAACATCATAAGATGTGTTTAAATGTGTTTTACTTCTGTGGTTTGAAGTTAACTTTCTTCTAAAGCGACAGAACTCTGTCCGGTGTCAGGGCTGTGATACTTTAACTGGTGTGTCTTCAGATTTGATGATTGACTGAAACTTTTCCCACATTGAGAGCATTGGTGAGCCTTTTCTGCTGTGTGAGTTAGCTGGTGTCTATTTAGGTGGTGCAACAGACTGAAAACCTTTCCACACTGGGAGCAGTGGTACGACTTCTCTTCTGTGTGAGTTAGCTGGTGTGTCTTCAGACTAGAAAACTGACTGAAACGCTTCCCACATTGGGAGCAGTGGTAAGGCTTCTCTCCTGTGTGAGTTCGCTGGTGAGTCTTTAAATCTGAAGACTGATTGAAACTCTTCCCACATTGGGAGCAGTGGTAAGGCTTCTCTCCTGTGTGAGTTCGCTGGTGTGTCTTTAAGTAGCTTGAATGACTAAAACTCTTTCCACACTGAAAGCATTCATGAGGCTTCTCTCCAGTGTGAGTTCGCTGGTGTATCTTTAGATCTGAAGACTGATTGAAACTCTTCCCACATTGGGAGCAGTGGTAAGGCTTCTCTCCTGTGTGAGTTCGCTGGTGTGTCTTTAAGTAGTTTGAATGACTGAAACTTTTCCCACATTGAGAACAGTGGAAAGGCTTTTCTCCAGTGTGTATTCTAAGATGATTTTTCAGGGAATCTGGCCGCCTAAAGCCCTTCCCACATTGGGAGCAGTGGATGGGCTTCTCTCCTGTGTGGATCAGCTGGTGTCTATTTAAGGTCTGTGAAAGAGGGAAACTCTTCCCACAAACAGAGCAGTGGAAAGGCTTCTCTCCTGTGTGAGTTATCTGGTGTTTCTTTAGTTTGCTTGGTGCCTGAAAACTCTTCCCACATTGACCACAGGGGTAAGCCTTCTTTCTTTTGATAGTATTTTTGTGTGGTATGAGGTGAGTAGGACAAATGAAACTGCCTCTGCAATCTGAGCAGGGGTGGGGCCTACAAGTGTGCCTTCTCAACTCCTCTGGCTCATAGAAACTAGTGGAGCAGTCCATGCAGTGGTGATGTTTCTGTCTTGAGTTCCTCTGTCTGTGTTGTTTATGGTTTCCTGATGCTGTGGAACTGGGCTCACTGTCTGAATCTGGGTTGGAGCACTCTCCTGTGGGAATACGGACAGTTAAAGGGTTAGAATCAGGAACAGAGCATTGGAGGGCCTTTAATACACTTGTTGATGCAAGCAAAAGCACAATAAGAGTTTTTGAATCTCCTATGGCTACCAAGGCACCAACCTCTGTCCGTACTCCACACCTGAACTTACCTGGGTCACTGATACTATCTACTTCTTCCTCTAGATCCAAGTCACCAACCTCTCTCCGTACTCCACACCTGAACTTACCTGGGTCACTGATACTATCTACTTCTTCCTCTAGATCTGGAGCAGACACATCCCTGTTCTCCTCCTCTTCGTTGACTTCTCTCTCCTCCACCTCTTCTTCTAGTCCTCTCTCCTCCATCTCCTTTGTGACTGCTCTCTCCTCCAGCTCTTCTTTGACTTCTGTCTCCTTATGTTCCTTTTCAATCTCCATCTCTTCCTCTTTGATTTCTCTCTTCTCCTCCACCTCCTGTTTGATTGCTATGTCCTCATGGTCCCCTTTAACCTCAACCTCCTCCTCTTTGATTTCTACCTCCTCATGGCCCTCTTTAACCTCAACCCCCTCCTCTTTGACTTCTCTCTTCTCCTCCACTACCTTTTCTTCCTCTTTTTTAACTTCTACATTCTCCCCTTCTTCTACTTTAAGTTCTCTCTCTTCCTCTTTAACAATCACATTGACTTCCAGTGTTTGACTGCAGTCCTCCAACTTCACTGAGACCATCTCTGGACCCCACTGTGAACTTCTCTGGGCTGGAACACCACAGCCAGACCCTGGGGACTCTGTGGACTTGGATTCAGACATGGTAGGCTAGTAGGTAGGTGGATCTGCAGGTGGTTTAGTCAAAAGAGGCAGATACAGTGGAGGGTGATTTTCATGCTGCTAAGTCAAGCTACATTCCAAACACTGATTTTCTAAGGTCATAGCTAGCTTGCTAGGTAACTAGTTACCGAAATTACCACTTCTCATCACAGGTCGAGTTGGCTTGCTAACTAACCAAAGAGACATCTAGCCAATTGTTTCCGTTCCGTATATCTGGTATTTGTTCTGAGGTGAATTCATGGGTTCTACTAGGTAGCCTCAACTTGATTTAGCTAACTAGCTACTAACAAAGACGGTGGTACTGTAGTAAGAAAACAAGCTAGCTAACACTGACAGTAGATAGCTAACAGTAGATCGCTAAGTTATTGGCCTTCGGTACCCGTTATTACACCATTTGCTCTATCACTGACGATTGTCAATGTAAATGATGTTTTGGGCACGCTCATAATTAGTTAAACATATCATAAACTCACCTTTAAACGTTGCGGCTAAGAATCTTTATCGTCAGTTGTTTGACTGAGTAAGTAGGAGGATACGCAAGGTTAAAAACCAAGGACGTAAACTTCCGGTGCGTTCTACTTCTTCTTTATGGTGGAATACATCAAACAATGGTGTATTACCGCCACCTGCTGGGTGGGGAGAAAACTAAGAATTTTAACATAGAAATGGGAATTAGGAAAAGGGTGAAAAATAAAACTCATAATCTACCGAAAATGATAATAAACAAAAATCAATGGGGGGTGGGGGGGGATCCACTGCCAATTCCTCCTAATTTCCACTATCTCCTTCAACAACTTGGACTGACTCCGCATAGGAGACCTACTGGATGGTCCTGATCCGTGCTACTGCAACCTCCTTCACCCTTACAGGGCACTCCGGGCTCTCTGGGAAGTTTCAAAGCAAATTTGAGAAAAAGGCTACCTAAATTCTATCAGCATATTGACTGTAGCACAAAATGCTGGACCATTGTTAGACTCATTTCCGCTATGCATACAAGGCCCTCCCCCGCCCTCCTTTTGGCAAATCTGACCACGACACCATTTTGCTCCTCCCTTCCTATAGGCAGCAACTCAAACAGGAAGCACCCATGCTTAGGACTAATCAACGCTGATCTGACCAATCGGAATCCACGCTTCAATATTGTTTTGATCATGCGGACTGGGAAAGTGTATAGGAGATGTCGTACCCACTGTGACTATTAAAACCTACCCTAACCAGAAACCCTGGATACAGTGGCTTGCGAAGGTATTCACCCCCTTGGCATTTTTCCTATTTTGTTGCCTTACAACCTGGAATTAAAATTGATTTTTGGGGGGGTTTGTATCATTTGATTTACACAACATGCCTACCACTTTGAAGATGCTAAATAAAAAAAATTGTGAAACAAACAAGAAAGAAGACAAAATAACTGAACTTGAGCATGCATAACTATTCACCCCCCCAAAGTCAATACTTTGTAGAGCCACCTTTTGCAGCAATTTCAGCTGCAAGTCTCTTGGGGTATGTCTCTATAAGCTTGGCACATCTAGCCACTGGGATTTCTGCCCATTATTCAAGGCAAAACTGCTCCAGCTCCTTCAAGTTGGATGGGTTCCGCTGGTGTACAGCAATCTTTAAGTTATACCACAGATTCTCAATTGGATTGAGGTCTTGGCTTTGACTAGGCCATTCCAATACATTTAAATGTTTCCCCTTAAACCACTCGAGTGTTGCTTTAGCAGTAGGCTTAGGGTCATTGTCCTGCTGGAAGGTGAACCTCCATCCCAGTCTCAAATCTCTGAAAAACTGAAACAGGTTTCCCTCAAGAATTTCCCTGTATTTAGCGGCATCCATCATTCCTTCAATTCTGACCAGTTTCCCAGTCCCTGCCTATGAAAAACATCCCCACAGCATGATGCTGCCACCACCATGCTTCACTGTGGGGATGGTGTTCTCGGGGTGATGAGAGGTGTTGGGTTTGCGTCAGACATAATGTTTTCCTTGATGGCCAAAAAGCTAAATTTTGACCAGAGTACCTTCTTTCATATGTTTGGGGAGTCTCCCACATGCCTTTTGGCGAACACCAAATGTGTTTGCTTATTTATTTCTTTAAGCAATGGCTTTTTTTCTGGCCACTCCTCTGTAAAGCCCAGCTCTGTGGAGTGTACGGCTTAAAGTGGTCCTATGGACAGATCCTCCAATCTCCGCTGTGGAGCTTTGCAGCTCCTTCAGGGTTATCTTTGGTCTCTTTGTTGCCTCTCTGATTAATGCCCTCCTTGCCTGGTCTGTGAGTTTTGGTGGGCGGCCCTCTCTTAGCAGGTTTGTTGTGGTGCCATATTCTTTAAATTTTTTAATAATGGATTTAATGGTGCTCTGTGGGATGATAAAAGTTTCTGATATTTTTTTATAACCCAACCCTGATCTGTACTTCTCCACAACTTTGTCCCTGACCTATTTGGAGAGCTCCTTGGTCTTCATGGTGCCCCTTGCTTAGTGGTGTTGCAGACTCTGGGGCCTTTCAGAACAGGTGTATATATACTGAGATCATGTGACACTTAGATTGTACACAGGTGAACTTTATTTAACTAATTATATGACTTCTGAAGGTAATTGGTTGCACCAGATCTTATTTAGGGGCTTCGTAGCAAAGGGGATGAATACATATGCATGCACCACATTTCCATTATTTATTTTTTATTTCACTTCACCAATTTTGACTATTTTGTGTATGTGCATTACATGAAATCCAAATAAAAATCAATTTAAATTACAGGTTGTAATGCAACAAAATAGGAAAAACGGCAAGGGGGATGAATACTTTTGCAAGGCGCTGTAGATGGCAGCATTCGCGAAAACTGAGGATTACACAGTGCCACCAACGCGGCCAGCTACCAAGGACTGTGGGCTCTCCTTCTCCGTGGCTGACGTGAGTAAGACATTTAAACGTGTTAACCCTCGCAAGGCTGCCGGCCCTCAGAGCATGCGCAGACCAGCTGGCTGGTGTGTTTACGGACACATTTAATCTCTCCCTATCCCAGTCTGCTGTCCCCACATGCTTCAAGATGGCCACCATTGTTCCTGTACCCAAGAAAGCAAAGGTAACTGAACTAAATGACTATCGCCCCGTTGCACTCACTTCTGTCATCATGAAATGCTTTGAGAGTCAAGGATCATATCACCTCCACCTTACCTGTCACCCTAGACCCACTTCAATTTGCATACCGCTCCAATAGGTCCACAGACGATGCAATCGCCATCACACTGCACACTGCCCTATCCCATCTGGACAAGAGGAATACCTATGTAAGAATGCTGTTTACTGACTATAGCTCAGCATTTAACACCATAGTACCCTCCAAGTTCATCATCAAGCTTGAGGCCCTGGGTCTCAACCCCACCCTGTGCAATTGGGTCCTGGACTTCCTGACAGGCTCCCCCAGGTGGTGAAGGTAGGAAACAACATCTCCACTTCGCTGATTCTCAACACTGGGGCCCCACAAGGGTGTGTGCTCAGCCCCCTCCTGTACTCCCTGTTCACCCATGACTGCGTAGCCATGCACGCCTCCAACTCAATCATCAAGTTAGCAGATTACCAACAATGACAAGACAGCCTACAGGGAGGAGGTGAGGGCTCTGGGAGTGTGGTGTCAGGAAAATAACCTCTCACTCAACGTAAAAAAAAGAAAGGAGATGATCGTGGACTTCAGGAAACAGCAGAGGGTGCACCCCCCTATCCACATAGACGGGACAGCAGTGGAGAAGGTGGAAAGTTTTAAGTTCCTCTGCGTACATATCACTGACAAACTGAAATGGTCTACCCACACAGACAGTGTGGTGAAGAAGGCGCAACAGTGTCTCTTCAACCTCAGGAGGCTGAAGAAATTTGGCCTGTCACCTAAAACCCTCACAAACCTTTACAGATGCACAATTGAGAGCATCCTGTCGGGCTGTATCACCGCCTTGTACGGCAACTGCACCGCCCACAACCGCAGGGCTCTCCAGAGAGTGGTGCGGTCTGCTCAACTTAGACTATGCCACTCTGATAATGACATTGCTCATCCATATATATATATATATATATATATATATATATATATATATATATATATATATATATATATATATTCTTATTTCATTTCTTTACTTAGATTTGTGTGCATTAGGTTTTTGTTGTGGAACTGTTAGATATTACTTGTTAGATATTACTGCACTGTCGGAAACAAGAAGCACAAGCATTTCGCTACACTCGCAATAACATCTGTATGTTACTAATACATTTGATTTTGATTTGATTTGATTTGACCTCAGGAACATGATTCCCACCTCAATTGCAACACCGTACACTCTCTGACACTTAAGCAACATATTTATGCAGCCTGCAAACTCTTTACATGTGTCCAAAGTTTTTAAAACTCTGGCATTGCAGTGGGCTTTGCATATACACTCTCACAGGGTATCTTATATACCCCAGCCTCACAGCCAAACAACAGGAAAATCAATCACCTTTACTCCCTTTTCCCATCCACCATACAGTTCAAACGATGTCCATCAACTACTCCTGGGATTTTCCAACAGAGATATTGGGTGATATCCATCGGGACCCCAGAGATTACACCTTTTACTGGTGCCCTGCTCTGGAAACCAAAGCTATCCACCCTATGGTCGATAACTTTGAGATCCACAACACATGCTCCTTTTGCTTATTTGATGTCCAAGATATCAACACCATACCACTCCTAGTTACCCTGACTGCATCCACCTTCCGCAGTGCCAAGATATCAACACCATACCACTCCTAGTTACCCTGACTGCATCCACCTTCCACAGCGCCAAGATATCAACACCATACCACTCCTAGTTACCCTGACTGCATCCACCTTCCACAGCGCCAAGATATCAACACCATACCACTCCTAGTTACCCTGACTCCATCCACCTTCCACAGCGCCAAGATATCAACACCATACCACTCCTAGTTACCCTGACTACATCCACCTTCCACAGCGCCACCCTTACACAAAAATGTATGCACGCATGAATGTAAGTCACTTTGGATAAAAGCGTCTGCTAAATGGCATAATATTATATATACCATGTGCAACCAGAGGGAAAAAAACTAGACCTTCTTTACTCCACACACAGAGACGCATACAAAGCTCTCCCTCGCCCTCCATTTGGCAAATCTGACCATAATTATATCCTCCTGATTCCTGCTTACAAGCCAAAACTAAAGCAGGAAGTACCAGTGACTCGCTCAATACGGAAGGTGTCAGATGACGCGGATGCTACAGGACTGTTTTGCTAGCACAGAGTGGAATATGTTCCGGGATTCATCCAATGGCATTGAGGAGTATACCACCTCAGTCACCGGCTTCATCAATAAGTGCATCGACGACGTCGTCCCCACAGTGGCCGTACGTACATATCTCAACCAGAAGCCGCACAGGCAACATCCGCACGACCTAAAGGCTAGAGCTACCACTTTCAAGGAGCGGGACACTAATCCGGACGCTTTTAAGAAATCCCGCTATGCCCTCAGATGAACCATCAAACAGGCAAAGCGTCAATACAGGACTAAGATTGAATCCTACTACTGACGCTCGTTGGATGAGGCAGGGCTTGCAAACTATTACGGACTACAAAGGGAAACCCAGCCGTGAGCTGTCCAGTGACGCAAGCCTACCAGACGAGCTAAATGCCTTTTATGCTCACTTCAAGTCAAGCAACACTAAAGCATGCATGAGAGCACCAGCTGTTCCGGACGACTGAGTGATCACGCTCTCCGTAGCCAATGTGAGCAAGACCTTTAAACAGGTCAACATTCACAAGGCCACGGTGCCAGGAAGATTACCAGGACGTGTACTCAGAGCATGCTCGGACCAACTGGCAAGTGTCTTCACTGACATTTTCAACCTCTCCGTGACCGATTCTGTAATAACAACATGTTTGGTCCTCTGTAGCTCAGCTGGTAGAGCACGGCGCTTATAACGTCAAGGTAGTGGGTTCGATCCCCGGGACCACCCATACAATTTTTTTTAACAAAAGGAACACCTACAGTGAGGGAAAAAAGTATTTGATCCCCTGCTGATTTTGTACGTTTGCCCACTGACAAAGAAATGATCAGTCTATAATTTTAATGGTAGGTTTATTTGAACAGTGAGAGACAGAATAACAACAAAAAAATCCAGAAAAACGCATGTCAGAAATGTTATAAATTGATTTGCATTTTAATGAGGGAAATAAGTATTTGACCCCCTCTCAATCAGAAAGATTTCTGGCTCCCAGGTGTCTTTTATACAGGCAACAAGCTGAGATTAGGAGCACACTCTTAAAGGGAGTGCTCCTAATCTCAGCTTGTTACCTGTATAAAAGACACCTGTCCACAGAAGCAATCAATCAGATTCCAAACTCTCCACCATGGCCAAGACCAAAGAGCTCTCCAAGGATGTCAGAGACAAGATTGTAGACCTACACAAGGCTGGAATGGGCTACAAGACCATCGCCAAGCAGCTTGGTGAGAAGGTGACAACAGTTGGTGCGATTATTCGCAAATGGAAGAAACACAAAATAACTGTCAATCTCCCTTGGCCATGGGCTCCATGCAAGATCTCACCTCGTGGAGTTGCAATGATCATGAGAACAGTGAGGAATCAGCCCAGAACTACACGGGAGGATCTTGTCAATGATCTCAAGGCAGCTGGGACCATAGTCACCAAGAAAACAATTGGTAACACACTACGCCGTGAAGGACTGAAATCCTGCAATGCACGCAAGGTCCCCCTGCTCAAGAAAGCACATATACAGGCCGTCTGAAGTTTGCCAATGAACATCTGAATGATTCAGAGGAGAACTGGGTGAAAGTGTTGTGGTCAGATGAGACCAAAATCTAGCTCTTTGTCATCAACTCAACTTGCCGTGTTTAGAGGAGGAGGAATGCTGCCTATGACCCCAAGAACACCATCCCCACCATCAAACATGGAGGTGGAAACATTATACTTTGGGGGTGTTTTTCTGCTAAGGGGACAGGACAACTTCACCGCATCAAAGGGACGATGGACGGGGCCATGTATCGTCAAATCTTGGGTGAGAACCTCCTTTCCTCAGCCAGGGCATTGAAAATGGGTCATGGATGGGTATTCCAGCATGACAATGACCCAAAACACACGGCCAAGGCAACAAAGGAGTGGCTCAAGAAGAAGCACATTAAGGTCCTGGAGTGGCCTAGCCAGTCTCCAGACCTTAATCCCATAGAAAATCTGTGGAGGGAGCTGAAGGTACGAGTTGCCAAATGTCAGCCTCAAAACCTTAATGACTTAGAGAAGATCTGCAAAGAGGAGTGGGACAAAATCCCTCCTGAGATGTGTGCAAATCTGGTGGCCAACTACAAGAAACGTCTGACCTCTGTGATTGCCAACAAGGGTTTTGCCACCAAGTACTAAGTCATGTTTTGCAGAGGGGTCAAATACTTATTTCCCTCATTAAAATGCAAATTGATTTATAGCATTTTTGACATGCGTTTTTCTGGATTTTTTTGTTGTTATTCTGTCTCTCACTGTTCAAATAAACCTACCATTAAAATTATAGACTGATCATGTCTTTGTCAGTGGGAAAACGTACAAAATCAGCAGGGGATGAAAAACTTTTTTCCCTCACTGTATATGAGAATGCTGTTCATTGGCCACAGCTCAGCTTCCAACACCATTGTGCCCACAAAGCTCATCACTAAGCTAAGGACCCTGGAACTAAACACCTCCCTCTGCAACTGGATCCTGGACTTCCTGATGGACCGCCCTCAGGTGGTAAGGGTAGGCAACAACACATCTGCCACGCTGATCCTCAACACAGGGGCCCTTTTAATGGGTGCGTGCTTAGTCCCCTCCTGTACTCCCTGTTCACCCATGACTGCGTGGCCAAGCACGACTCCAACACCATCATTAAGTTTGCTGATGGTAGGCCTGATCACCGACAACGATGAGACAGCCTATAGGGAGGAGGTCAGAGACCTGGCAGTATGGTGCCAGGTCAACAACCTCTCCCTCAACGTGAGCAAGACAAATGAGCTTATCGTGGACAACAGGAAAAGGCGGGCCAAACACGCCACCATTCACATTGACGGGGCTGTAGTGGAGCGGGTCGAGAGTTTCAAGTTCCTTGGTGTCTACATCACCAACAAACTATCATGGTCCAAACACACCAAGACAGTCGTGAAGAGTGCACAACAACACCTTTTCCCCCTCAGGAGACTGAAAAGATTTGGCATTGGTCCCCAGATCCTCAAAAAGTCATACAGCTGCACCATCGAGAACATCCTGACCGGTTGCATCACCACCTGGTATGGGAACTGCTCAGCATTCGACCGTAAGCCGCTACAGAGGGTAGTGCGTACGGCCCAGCACATAACTGGGGCCAAGCTTCCTGCTATCCAGGACCTATATACTAGGCGGTGTCAGAGGAAGGCCAAAAAAATTGTCAGACTCCAGTCACCCAAGTGACAGACTGTTCTCTCTGCTACCGCACGGCAAGCGGTACCGGAGCGCCAAGTCTAGGTCCAAAAGTCTCCTTAACAGCTTCTACCCCCAAGCCATAAGACTGCTGAACAATTAATCAAATGGCCACCAGACTATTTACATTGACACCACCTTTTGTTTTTACACTGCTGCTACTCACTGTTTATTATCAATGCATAGTCACTTTACCCCTACCTACACGTACAAATTACCTCGACTAACCTGTACCCCCGCACATTGACTCGGTACTGGTACCCCCTGTATATAGCCTCATTATTGTTATTTTATTGTGTTACTTTTTATTTAATTTTTTTCTTTAGTTTATTTAGTAAATATTTTCTCAACTCTATTTCTTTAACTGTATTGTTGGTTAAGGGCTTGTAAGTAAGCATTTCATGGTAAGGTCTACACCTGTTGTATTCGGCGCATGTGACAAATACAATTTGATTTGATTACCGTTTAAGTAGTCTGTCCACGAGATATTAATATTTGCATAATCTGTGATAGCATTCAAATGCAAATATCCGGTCTATTTCCTTAGAACTTTGTTCTGAGAGTTTCCCAACAATCTCCAAATTGTTCCCTTTCAACTGCTACCATGGTTATGCATATTCTTCTCATATCTTTTTATTTTTTAAACATTTACATTTGGGCCTGTCCATAGTTAAAATGATCATGTTGATGTTTGGAAGGTCAGTCCTTGTGAACCATAGCTTAGTCTATGAATTTGAGTGGTTACATTTCTCCATCCTCATCCCTCAGCTGTTTACCAAAAACAGTGACCGCTTTGTTGGGGTACGTGCTTTGTTGATGTTGGAATCCCAGATTGCTCCTTTAATTAAAGTACAATATTTTTATGGTATTAAAAAGCAGTTTTCTGAGTAATAAGTCCACAGTCACAAAGGAAGTGTATGTAGGTCTATATGTTTTTAATCAATGCTCAACATTTCACCATGAAAATCATATTTTATGCAACACAGGAAAATGATGACTTTGATCTTCAATACTTTGGACTTCATTTATTCAGCAGCTTCTTTGCCCTGTAAGAATGAAATAATATAATGGATCAGTAATAATAATGAACATGATAAATATATGGATAGACTTGGATAGAATATAATGGATCAAGCATTTTAAGGCTCAGTGCTCAGCTTGGATTTTCACTTTTGAACCAACAGAATTAACCTTTATTTTTATGCCCTACCTGAAATGTGCTTCTTAAATACAGTTGAGTGTAAAAGGTCTGTGTTGACCTCTGTGAAGACTGAATCATAGGTGGTGTTGATGTGGTCATATTTGAACATGAGTCAGCAGCAGTTCTGTACCTTTCCAGTGTCACGGGTCTTGGCTCTGAGCTTGTTGACCTGAGTCTCAGCGATGTCAGCACGCTCCTCAGCCTCCTCCAGCTCATGCTGAACCTTCCTGAACTTAGACATGTGCTGGTTTGCTGCTTCCTCCTGGGTGAGGAAAAGATAGGGAGAGCAGAACATCAGTATTTACACTTTTTGAAGCTTCAGGTAGCAAATGAAAATATACATTGTTAAATGTATTTTCAACTAAACAAATATTGGCAGATTTATGATAGCAATGTATATAGGGAGATGGATAATACAGCAGAGAAAGTGAGTGGCGGAACAGGGGATCAAACTAGACCAGCAAATTATGATTCAACCCCCTCTCCTTTAAGTTAGTAACACATAGGCATAGGAGGCACTCAGAAATGTGTATAATTTCTTCAGTAATGACTTGTAATATCAACTGAGTCATTGTTGACTGATGTGATGTAGCAACACTTACTTCAACTAAACTATATGGACATTAAGTTTTGTAATGTACACAAGGGAAACCATGTTTTCAAACGTATGCTTTCAGAGTATTTGACTAAGTCTGACTCACCGCTTCCTCAGCCTGCCTCTTGTAGGCCTTCACTTTCAACTGCAGCTTATCTACCAGGTCCTGAAGTCTGCTAACGTTCTTCTTATCCTCCTCAGTCTGTGGGAGAAGAGCAAAGAATCAATATCAATATAGTTTTATACACAAACCTGTCTGTGTTAGTGTCAAGTGTGTGAAGAAGGCACTTTCTCTTACCTGGTAAGTGAGCTCCTTGACTCTGCGCTCATACTTGCGGACTCCCTTGACTGCGTCTACACCTCTTCTCTGCTCGGCCTCCACCTCAGTCTCGAGCTCACGCACCTTTGTGGAAAAAATAAACGTAGGCATTTGTTTGTGGTGAAATCAGAAGTTACTCATCTTTATAAAACAGAGGTACAGTCTTCTACCCAGTCAAGGAGGAACAATTGTTATCTGTTTCTATGTACTTTTAAACTTTTAATTGAAGGGGTCTGTAATAATAATAACACATTTTCATTATCAGTGGTTCCCAAAGTGGAATAAAAAAATATGAATATTGCTAGCAACAACAGATTAAACTACCAGGGATCTGTGGAAAGAAGGGTATAATACATTTACATTTTTACATTGACATTTTAGTCATTTAGCAGACGCTCTTATCCAGAGCGACTTACAGTTAGTGCATACATTTTTTCTCCCCAGCAGGACAATGACCCTAAGCATACTGCTAAAGCAACACTCAAGTGGTTTAAGGGGAAACATTTAAATGTCTAGGAATGGCCTAGTCAAAGCCCAGACCTCAATCTAATTGAGAATCTGTGGTATGACTTAAAGATTGCTGTACACCAGCAGAACCCATCCAACTTGAAGGAGCTGGAGCAGTTTTGCCTTGAAGAATGGGCAAAAATCCCAGTGGCTGGATGTGCCAAGCTTATAGAGACATACCCCAAGAGACTTGCAGCTGTAATTGCTGCAAAAGGTGGCTTTACAAAGTATTGACTTTGGGGGGGGTGAATAGATATGCATGCTCAAGTTTTCTGTTTTTCTTGTCTTATTTCTTGTTTGTTTCACCCCTAAAAAGATTTTGCATCTTCAAAGTGGTAGGCATGTTGTGTAAATCAAATGATACAACCCCCCCCCAAAATCCATTTTAATTCCAGGTTGTAATTCAACAAAATAGGAAAAATGCCAAGGGGGGTGAATACTTTCGCAACTCACTGTGTGAGATTGCTGAAAGAAGTTTGCCATGTCAACAGCAAGACAGAAGCACCGATATAAATACATTTTAATGTCTTTATTTTTAAGGTTATTGAGTGGAATAGCACCATATTTGAGACGGTAATGTTTCCAGAGTATGTACATATGTTTGTTAAGATGTTATGTTGTGTTTTCACGTTTTTATGAACTTTTGAAAGTCCGCTAGCCTACATGCAAATTCATCCGTTAGACTGCTAGCTGGTAGCCTCGGATAGCAATGCTAGCTTCCCTAGCAGCGGCACTTTTGCAGCAGAGTGAATTAGACATGTAGCTAGCGATCTAGAGAGAGAAATGATGCAAATGTAGTTAATAATAATAATAATAATAATATCTATTCATGAAATGGCAGTTTAGAAGAAGTAATCCAAGACAACTGTACAAGCCTGAACAAATGCAACTAGATAAATAATTTTTTACATCGAAGGTCTTGGCTCCAATTCTTCTCAACTCCAACTATATAAGTGTAACATATTCCCCAAATGTTTTATTTTGAGCATAAATGCACCATAATTTAACCCCCTAAGGTCGATATCCATGCCCCCGGAAAAATCTAATTTAGGATATTTTAAAAATCCCCATAAACGTCTGTCAGTTTTACGCTAGAGACATGTTTTTTTGCATTGGATGCGTCTCAATCCACCGCATCAGCCTATGTAACACTTCTGCATTTGCGGTGAAAGGCGACAGAGCGAGAGCGGTGCTTGTCAGACAGACCATGAGACATCCCGAAAATGGGTTTTCTTACAACATCGTCTGTAGTGTCCGAAAAGTTTGGGCTACACACTATGACCCCTCTGTGTAAAGGTGAGACTCTCCAGGACGCCCACAAGCCTCACAAGACTCGTCTGAAGGTCCCCCGGTATCAGTAGAAAAAATTTATGGAAGTACAGTATAAATGGAGACTTAAGTGACAAAGGGGTTAAATAAAATGTTCCTGATCTTTCTTATATCTCTTTCAGATATAGGATACACACTTCAGAACAAACTTCATTTAGATTTTTGGGGGGGGACTATCTGTTGTTCCATGTAGTGAATCTGTTATTCAATGCGTTTGTATGGGCTAATAGCAGTAAGGCCAGATAACATTTTTCATCAAATAAATGTTTTATATATATATTTTTATACTTCAATGGGTCTTCAAATTCAAAATCAAATAGCAAAATTATCCTTGGTATGACCTTCTTAAAACAACTCCATATTGCTTAGTAGTACCCCCCTCCCCTCCTCTGGCTTACACAGGGTTTAGACTCTCATTTAAGCTTTAAAACTGCATAATGTTCTCTCCGCCCTATGGCAACATGTGTAGAATTGCAAGAAATTAGCTTTAAAACTGCAACATTTTCTTTCTGATGCCAAGACTTTAAAATGTTATTTCCCCAGGGCACGAGACTTGATTAGTCTGACCATGTATTGCTGAAGTCATAGTAAAACTGAGTAGATGCTATTTTTATCGCACACTAAAGTAGGAGTTGTGTTCTGACATGCAAATAAGTTTGGGAACCCCTGATCTAGGTGGGTTATTGAGAGAAAAAGTCATTACACAATGCTCCTGCGTATTTTTATATGATCAAATACATTTATTTCAATCCACCCTGCTGTTAACTCACCCTGGACTCCAGTTTCTGGAGCTGCTTCTTGCCTCCCTTCATGGCCAGATTCTCAGCCTCATCCAGGCGGTGCTGCAGGTCCTTGACTGTGACCTCCAGGTTCTTCTTCATCCTCTCCAGGTGAGAGCTGGTGTCCTGCTCCTTCTTCAGCTCCTCAGCCATCATGGCCGCCTGGAAAAGTAGTTTGTTTAATTAATGCACCAATTGGCACCAATCATAACATTCCTCTGAGAACTTTGTTGTTCTTAACCAGCCCAGCTACCATTGACCCTAGGGGACAAATCAAGTTGATGTAATTCAAGGACTCACGTCAGTGATGGCCTTCTTGGCCTTCTCCTCTGCATTCCTGGCCTCCTGGACGATGTCGTCAACCTCTCCCTGCACCTGCACCAGGTCAGTCTCCAACTTCTTCTTGGTGTTCAGAAGGCTGGTGTTCTGAAGGAGGAAACAAGACGATTTGTTAGACTCTCAAGAGAACTTACATGTCACAGGGCTGATATTATGAAAATCTAAAAGCAAGCGCTGTTGAAATACTGTTGTGTGTAAACGGTATGGTTGGTTGAGTTTCATTGGCTTTTGACCCATACCTGGGAGTGCAGCAGTCCAACACGCTCGCTGGCATCTACCAGCTCAGTCTCAGCCACTTTGCGGCCTCTCTCTGTCTGCTCCAGAGCAACTCTCAGCTCCTCGATTTCAGCCACCATCAGACCATTTCTGCGCTCCACCATGGCTGCCTGCTCCTTCATGTCCTCTGCAGCGCGGACGGCGTCATCAAGGTGCAATTGAGCATCCTGGGGTTCACAATGACATAGGTTAATTGGTAAGAATTTCCACCTTTATACAGTACATAGTCCACTCCTAAATGCCTATGTTGTATTATTTTCTACAGATTCACAAACAAATCCTTCTCCATGTTCAGATTTTTTATCCTGATGTCCCAGTCCTTTTACCTTGAGCTGTCCCTGGACGTTCCTCAGCTGTTTCTGGGCCTCAGCGGCCTGCCTGTTGGAGTGGCTCAGCTGGATCTCCATCTCGTTCAGGTCTCCCTCCATCTTCTTCTTCACCCTCAGGGCATCATTCCTGCTCCTGACCTCAGAGTCCAGGGTGCTCTGCATGGAGTCAACGACCCTCTGGCTGTTCCTCTTGATCTGCTCCATCTCCTCGTCCTTCTCAGCAATCTTCCTGTCCACCTCACCCTTGATCTGGTTCAGCTCCAGCTGCACACGCAGAATCTTGGATTCCTCGTGCTCCAGTGTGCCCTGGACAAACAGAAGCAGTCAGGCGAATTGTGTTCAATACATTTGGATGTAGGAATTAAATATATATGACTACAATAAACACCAATACAGGGAGCATTTGACTGTAGCTGGCATTGGCTAGTGTAACACTGCTTTTCCCATCAAACAGCTGTAGTTTGTACCTCAGCCTCCTCCAGAGCGGTCTGGATCTCAGACTTCTCTGTCTCCACGGTCTTCTTGGCCTTCTCCAGCTCATGGATGCTCTTGCCAGTCTCTCCGATCTGCTCAGTCAGGTCAGAGATCTCCTCTGCGCACACAAACACACAGGAGCTGTTTAACTTGGGAGATTTTCAGTGGATATGCCAATGCACTGAAATTGACATTGAATCAAAATAACAGTTAATTAACAGCACTTCATATGGTCTTGCAAATCGAATTGCTCTCCACTTCCTTGGGTTGTTAAAAGGTATAGCGATTAAATGCTCACGTTGCAGGTTCTTGTTCTCTCTCTTCAGAGTCTCCAGATGATCCAGAGCCTCCTCATAGGAGTTCTTCATCTTGAAGAGTTCAGTGCTCATAGAGCGAGCCTCCTTCTGAGCTCCTTCCAGCTCAGCTTGACCCTCCTCATACTTCTGCTTCCACTCTGCCAGAACCTAGGGAAATTCATGGGATTTTCATTAGAAGTCATTGATGAAGAGCTTTGAATCAGAAATATACTACAATGAATCTGACAGAAAATAACAAGGGTGAGGTTTCTTCATTTTCACCTTGTCAAAGTTCCTCTGCTTCTTGTCGAGGTTGGCGGCCATTGCGTTGGCTCTCTCAACGTCAATCATGAGGTCCTCCACCTCTCCCTGCAGCCTCTGCTTGGTCTTCTCCAGGGAGGCGCACTTGGAGTTGGTCGCCTCAATGGTCTCCTCAGCCTCCTGCAGACGTTGGGCCAGCTTCTTCCTGTTGGACAACAGAGGGTGATGTTTCGGTTTGAAACATAAGTTACAATATATATTGACGTAACATTTTCTCAGAGCCCTCTTACCACCCACACTCTATATTTGAGTTTTTGCTGTTGCATGTGACTCACTTGGCCTCCTCCAGCTCCTCTGTGCGCTGGATGGCATCAGTTTCATACTTAGTCCTCCACTGAGCCACCTCACTGTTGGCCTTTGACATGCCGCGTTGCAGCTCTGCCTTGGCCTCCTGCTCCTCCTCAAACTGTTCCCTCAAGAGGTCACAGTCATGGCGGGCAGACTGGACACCGTGGGCCAGTGCGTTTTTAGCCTGAAAGAAGGAGACAAAGAGAGATAGTCAAACAAATTACAGTAGAAGACTGAGGGTGGCATAGTCCCTGGATGTTTCTCAATATGCACACTACCGTGCCCCGAGGCACGCAATCTGGAGCACGGGAGGGTCGGAGCGTGAGTCCAAATCAAAGTATGTTATACGGATTATGGAGGGCAACACATTTCGAAGCATGCATTGATGCAAGTTTCAACGAAATGTATGGACAGAAATATGACCCAACCACGTAAAAAAACAAAGCAACATTTCTTGAGCTAAACCGAGAGAAAATAAGATCTGACTTCAGAATGAAATGTTGCCCATTCCCATCTCATATGTTGCCTGACAACAATATTTTCTCTTGAAAACGTTAAATACATTCTGTGTTAATTTTTGCTTTTTTACCTGATTACAATACCCTCTGTAGTGTGCGCAATTGCAAGCCCATATTAAGTCAATAGGGCGAACTGGCTAGCAACTACTGTTAGCTGGCTAGCCACAAATAATTGGTAGCTAGCTACCCACGAAGGATTGACATCTACATAACATTAGTTTTAGGTCATTTTTGGCTGTTTTAACTAGCTGGATAGCTAGATTATTACGATTCACAGCTAGCTGATAATTATGAAGTAAAATGTTTGCTTTGTGTGTATCTTATTAGGTCTCTATTGCCATTGTTCTGGCTGGAAGAAGGTTTAGTGAATGGGGAGGTGCAGCATGTGTGAGGTAATACAGTAGGTGGAGTGTGAATGCTTCTCAAATGTAATGTTTTATGCGTTCTCCACTCTCTCATCCTCACAAGTACGGACTCAAGAGAACGTCCTCAGAGAACGCACTCGGAGCATGAGAGTGTGGAGTACGGTAGTGTGCATATTGAGAAACACCCACTGTCTATATGAAGATATGGCTCTAATCTCTGTGGTCGGTGGAGTCCATTTTGGGTCCCTTACCTTGACCTCTTCCTCAATCGCCCTCTTCAGCTCCTCCAACTGCTGGGTGAAGGCCTGTTTTCCTCTGGTCAGCTGAGACACCAGGGCTTCCTTCTCCTCCAGCTGGCGGCCAAACTCACCTTCAGGGATAGAGGGATATCTAGTTAATAGGGTCTCTGTTCTCTAAGATTGAAAATGTATTTGGAGGTATCATAGGGCAAAGTTAGGTGGTGAATAGTACAGTATAAATTATGTGGATACAGCCCCCAACACATGTTATTGTGTTTTACTGAAGGAAAGCATTGGGTTGTAGTTCATTGTTGATGGTACCATTTTCTGTCAGGAGTCTGGCCCTCTGTCCGCTGATGTCGTTGACCTGGCGAACATTCTCATCATTCTTAGTCTTGAGCTCGCTCAGCTGGTCCTCAAGAGTACGGCACATCTTCTCCAGATTGCCCTGTTAGTGAAACATGTACCATCATTACTTTATAAATGGGACTCCTGTCAACCTCAGTTCACTTGAATGGTAATGTAGTTGACCCTCCTCAACAGTGCTTGACCAAAACATCACTACTCACCTTAGCCTTGGCGACGGCCTCCATGTTGCTGGAGAGGTCATCAATCTCCATCTTGTACTCGCTCTTCTCCTTCTCCAGCTTCTGCTTGACGCGCTGCAGGTTGTCGATCTGCTCCCCGAGCTCAGCCACACTGTCGGCCTGCTTCTTTCGCAGAGCGGCGGCTGTGGCCTCGTGCTGCAGGGTGGACTCTTCAAGATCACGGCGCAGCTTCTGGAACTCAGCCTCGCGCTTCTTGTTCATCTCAATCTGAGCAGCAGTGGCGCCTCCGGCCTCCTCCAGCCTCTCGCTGATCTCCTCAAGTTCCCTGGAGAGATCGGCCCTCTGCTTCTCAACCTTAGCCCTGGCAGCACGCTCAGCCTCAATTTCCTCCTCCAGCTCCTCAATACGGGCCTAGAACAGGGGGCAGGAGCAGGGGGGATGAACACTACAATAGAGTTGAAACAATTGAACCTCACAAAATAATAATATGTATATTTTTCATAAATGTGTTAAATACAAAGCCAGTTACACTAATATATTCAATAGACAGTGTCCCATGCAGGAGCCAAAACCACAATGGCAAGAAGCCCCCCATAGTGTTAGACAGATGACTCTAGACGGAAATGGCCCATTTTAGCATTGATATTGTCATTGAGGGCTTCTACCATTTATAAAGTAGTCAACTGGGTGGGGATTTCCCATGGGTTAGGAGCCATCAGCCAATGATCAGAGCATTGAATTCTTCAAATAGGGTTGCCAATGGTTAGTAAATGGCTTTAAGCTATATCACTGCCATCTAGTGGCCGCAATAAATGAAGGACAATATTTGGTTCAGGACTCCAGCACTGCAGGTGGCAGTAAATCACCAATATTAGTTTTAAACTTTTTTCAAACACAAGAAGAAAATTAACTACACAAAACATGTATATTTAGATGCCTATTCTATCACAGACGCCATCATGGCAAAGATACAAATCTGAGTCCTCTATCTAACTCTATGGAAGCACCATCTTTACAATGGTAAGAAGCTCCTACTGAGCCATCAGAAGCTGCCAGAACAAATGTCAGCTTTTTTCAGGAAATGATTCAATTGTGTGCTTTTCTGTACTGGAGCTTATATCTTGTACTGTACCTGGAGTTCCTTGATCTTCTTCTGCAGCTGAGCTCCCAGAGACTGCTCATCCTCAATCTTGCTGAGGAGCTGAGTGGTCTCAAACTCCTTCCTAAGAAACAGAAACACGTTGATTGCAGAGTTGGTTTAGGTTTGATAGTGTAAAGGGAGTATAATAACATTCACGTTGCTTTTAATCACATGCAAATGCTAATTCATAATTAATCAAGAACAATCATTATAGCAGCTGATACTGTAGTCATTTGTTTGTGTTTACTTCTTGATTTTCTCATCAGCTTGCTGCTTGTCATTCTCCAGGTCCATTATGGACTCCTGGGCCAGTTTCAGATCTCCCTCCAGCTTTCTCTTGGCTCTCTCTAGGTCCATACGTAGCTTCTTCTCTTGCTCAAGAGAACCCTCAAGCTATGAGATAAAAACAAATATATTTATCAAATCTAAACAAATGAAGATAATATCATCTTACATTCTATCATGGCCAAAATGTCAAACTCCACTCACGTCGTCCACTTGCTGTTCCAGCTTGGTCTTGGCCTTGGTCAGAGTGTTGACTTTGTCCTCCTCTGCCTGCAGGTCGTCCAGTGTCTGCTGGTGGGCCTCTTGGAGGGCTTTCTTCTCCTTGGTCAGCTTGGCAACACTCTCATCCATAGATGCCATCTCCTCTGTCAGGTTTTTAACCTGAAAATGGCCACAACATAATTATACTTCACCATAAAGGGGAGATATAGTTTGTTATATATTGCATTCATTTAAATTAGAAATGTGTCAACAAGTACTGTACTATAGATGTAACACTAGATGGCAGTGTGCACCATGCCAGTGTTCTGAGTGGAAGTCATAAATGAGGGGGGAGCAGAACAGGCAATGAATGTTGGGAGTAGCCCGCAACTGAAATTGTACAATTCAATTTTGTGTCTTAATTTTTCCTGCACCCACAATACAACTTGAATTCCATTTCTGTTAAGCTATGTTTTGAGTTGATTATTGTTTGGATTACTGTTTGGTTAGACTGTCTATGGTAAGACACTAGACCTTGTTTTCAGTGGCGTGCTTCTCCTTCTCCACTTTGGCCAGGGTGAGCTCCAGGTCATCGATGTCCTTCTTCAGCTCAGAGCACTCATCCTCCAGCTTCCTCTTCTTGGCAGTCAACTCGGCATTGATCTCCTCCTCATCCTCCAGCCTCTCGGTCGTCTCTTTGAGTTTGGCCTCCAGCTGGATCTTGCTCTTGATGAGCCCCTCGCACCTTTCCTCAGCATCGTTCAGATTCTCAGAATCCTGTTTTAAGAACAAAATATAGACTTCATTTAGTCAAAGAGGTCAGAACAAATCAATATAAATTCATGAAACATACACTGATCAAAAATATAAATGCAACATGCAACAATTTCAAAGATTCTGCTGAGTTACAGTTCATATAAGGAAATCAGTCAACTGATATAAATTCATTAGGCCCTAATCTATAGATTTCACATGACTGGGCAGGGGTGCAGCCATGGGTGGGCCTGGGAGGGCATAGGCCCACCCACTTAGGAGCCAGGCCTACCCACTGGGGAGCCAGGCCCAGTCAATCAAAATCAGTTTTTCCCGACAAAAGGGCTTTATTACAGACAGAAATATCACATTTATATAAGTATTCAGACCATTTACTCAGTACTTTGTTGAAACATCTTTGGCAGCAATTTCAGCCTCAAGTCTGGGAATGACGCTACAAGCTTGGCACACCTGTATTTGGGGAGTTTCTCCCATTCTTCTCTGCAGATCCTCTCAAGCTCTGTCAGGTTGGATGGGGAGCGTTGCTGCACAGCTATTTTCAGGTCTCTCCAGATATGTTCGATTGGGTTCAAGTCAGGGCTCTGGCTGGGCCACTCAAGGACATTCAGAGACTTGTCCCAAAGCCACTCCTGCGTTGTCTTGCCTGTGTGCTTACGGTCATTGTGCTGTTGGAAGGTGAACGTTCGCCCCAATCTGAGGTCCTGAGTGCTCTGGAGCAGGATTACATCAAGGATGTCTCTGTAATTTGCTCCGTTCATCTTTCCCTCGATCCTGACGGGTCTCACAGTCCCTGTCGCTGAAAAACACCCCCACAGCTTGATTCTGCCACCACCATGCTTCACTGTAGGCTTGGTGCCAGGTTTCCTCCAGATGTGACGCTTGGCATTCAGGCCAAAGAGTTCAATCTTGGTTTCATCAGACCAAAGAATCTTGTTTCTCATGGAGAGTCTTTAGGTGCCTTTTGGCAAACTCCAAGCAAGCTGTCATGTGCCTTTTACTGAGGAGTGGCTTCCGTCTGGCCACTCTACCATAAATGTCTGATTGTTGGAATGCTGCAGAGATGGTTGTCATTCTGGAAGGTTCTCCCATCTCCACAGAGGAACTCTAGAGCTCTGTCAGAGTGACCATTGGGTTCTGGGTCACCTCCCTGACCAAGGCCCTTCTCCCTTGATTGCTCAGTTTGGCCGGGCGGCCAGCTCTAGGAAGAGTCTGGGTGGTTCCAAACTTCTTTCATTTAAGAATGATGGAGGTCACTGTGTTCTTGGGGACCATCAATGCTGCAGACATTTTTTGGTACCCATCCCCAGATCTGTGCCTCGACACAATCCTGTCTCGGAGCTCTACGGACAATTACTTCAACCTCATGGCTTGGTTTTTTCTCTGACATGCACTGTCAACTGTGGGACCTTTATATACAGGTGTGCCTTTCCAAATCATGTCCAATCAATTGAATTTACCACAGGTGTACTCCAGTCAAGTTGTAGCAACATTTCAAGGATGATCAATGGAAACAGGATGCACCTGAGATCAATTTCGAGTCTCGTCGCAAAGGGTCTGAATACTTATGTAAATAAGGTATTTCAGTTTTTTTTTTTTTATACATTTGCAAACATATCTAAAAACCTTTTTTCGCTTTGTTATTATGGGGTATTGTGTGTAGATTGCTGAGGATTTTTATTTATTTAATCCATTTCAGAATAAGGCTGTAACATAACAAAATGTGGAAAAAGTCAAGGGGTCTGAATACTTTCCGAAGGCACTGTATATATATATATATAACATTGGCAATATCAATGTGAGTTAGCCACATACTTCACAGAAGTGTTTGCCTGTCTTGCCTTCCATATGGGAGCACATGTCAAATTCAATGAACATGCATGTTTGAGTTTGAAGTTGAACATGATTATTGCCCTACCATGAATGTGACGATTTTAATTTACTGTACCTGTGCTGCCTCGTACATAAACATTTGACTATAAACATTGACTACAGTTAAAGCTGTTCATTCTGCTCCTACTAGCTTGAGCTGGAGTATACTGGAGTATGTTTGTTCAAGTGTGTATTCAAGTGTGTGCAAATATGCCCATATTGCTTTATATTTTTGCAAAATTGGTTGTTGTTCACTCACAGATGCAACTTGAAGTGCCAGGTCATTCTTCTCCTGCACCAGGGCCACCAACTTCTCCTCCAACTCCTTCTTCTTGGCCAGAGCCTTGGCCAGGTCTGTCTGCATCTTCTCATAGTTCTCCTTCATGTTGGCCAGCTCCTTCTCAGTCTCAGCACTCTTCAGCAGGGGCTTGATCTTGTAATAGACCTTCATCCATGGCCAGTGTTTCACATTCATGAATGAGCGAATGTTGTACTGGATGGTGTACACAGATTCTCTGGTCGACAGAAAGAATAGAGTGGCATGGTGAGTGACATGCTTAAAGCTACATTCTGGGATTCAAAGAACAACAAAACGGAACACCCCCGCCACTGTTTGTTTACAGCTGAGGAATGGGGCTAGGGAAGTGTAACCCCTCTTAAATTCACAGACAGCGGTCTAGATGCAAGGACTGACAGGTCATGCTAAGCACATGAGGCATTTTATGTTCTAAAGAATGAATGGATAAATTCCACAAATGTAAATGACAATTGAACAGCCAAATGCCAAACTGCAGCTATAAAGCTAGAATCCTTAGTTACTACATCCATTGTTGGACTTATAAATGAATTAACCCAAAAGCTTTAGTAAACCATTATAAGCCCTACTTTCTCATCCTGAAAAACTCACAGCATATACAGTATGTAATCAAAATGCATTGGTTCATAGAAAGCTTTGCCAAGATGTCCACTATTCCTCACCTCCTCTCCATCATCTTGCTAAACTCTCTCCTCATGAGGAATCCACGGCTGAGAGCCTGGACCATGCCGACCAGAGTGGCCAGCTTCTCATCTCTCATCTCCTCCAGGACACCCAGAAGACCGGCTTTGAAGAACACCTGAGACACAGGTTAACATGGTCAATGGAACCACAGATGGTGACAGATAGAAAGGGTTGAATCAAAAGAGGGGAAAAACACCACTAGATACACAAAAAAAATGTATGCACGCATGACTGTAAGTCGCTTTGGATAAAAGCGTCTGCTAAATGGCATATTATTATTATTATTATTGAACACAATGCACATGATAATGAGTTTAGTTTCTCTTCTATACTTGAATGACGTTGAAGTAAAAAAACACTACAATGTTTTTCCACCTTTTCCTTTAGTTAAATGAAGAAGAAAGAACAAAAGGATGGATAGATCAACTGGAGAGATTTTATATGGTAAGGGTTTAAATTATCATTCAAGTTGTGTTTTGTTGTCAGCTTTTGCTGGGGGTATTTGACTGACCTTGGTGTGTCCAAACTTGTAATCTTCGTGATTCACATCAATGGAACCAAGCAGCTTCTCAGAAGCCTTCTTGTTGTCCATGAACTGGCCCTCGGGGATGACACTGGCATTCAGTACTTTGTACCTGAATGAAGAGACAGTTTTAAAATATGTCAAGCTGTAATAGGTTGGTTATATTACGTAAAAGGTCAGCCTATTCTGATGCTGGGAAAACCCTTGAAGCAGATCTGTATTCTTGCGTCCATTTATGTTTGTGTACCTCTGCTTGAAGTCAGCATAGATGATTCTGCTGGGGAAGCCCTTTCTGCAGATCCTGATACCCTCCAGTACACCATTACACCTGAGCTGGTGGATAACCAGGAAGTTCTCCATCAGACCTGGAAAACAAACCAAGTCTCTTTTAATACACATAAACAGGTTAAAGATTGGGATTGTTAAAGTCACTGATACTGTACTGATAAGATGACATATTTAACTCAATATTTATTGTACCTGGAGTCTTTGACTCGTTGGGGATCAGGCAGCGCACAAAGTGAGGATGAGTGCTCCTCAAGTTGGTCATCAGCTTATGTAAGTTCTCCTGTAAGAGGGTTACAAACCATTTTCTCAGACATCATTTATGATAATCAATGCACCTTTTGAAGGACTGAATAAAACTTTCAAAAGCTCACCCTGAACTGGGAGGACACAGTCTGCATGGAACCACCCTTCTTCTTGCCTCCTTTCTTGCTTGTATCTGTTAAAATGGGGAAAAGTTGAAGATAACTAGAAAAGTACATTTCTTAGAGCGGGTGGAATAAATACAATAATAATAAGAGTATGTAAGAAATCTAGAGTGGTCTTGTCTTCAGCAAGCACATTAATTATAAACCAGAGAATATCTGGTTAACTTCACACTTATCTAGAGGCAAATGCTACCAATGAGATTTGTGTAAAATAACACCTATTGTATGATTGAATTAACCAAGTGTATGAATAAATTAACCCGGTGAAAACGCCATGAGAAATTGGGATACATTCAAAGACTTTAAAGAACATTTGGTCTGATTTATAACTGGTGCTTAATTAAATATTTTGACGTGATGCTAGTCTTACCCTCAGGTGGGGCAGCGGGATACAGGGCAGCCAAAAGTTTGACTGAGGACTTCCCGTACAACTGACAAACTGAGTCGTTCAGGGGGTCCTTGTTCTTCTCCAGCCAGCCAGTGATGTTGTAGTCCACAGTACCAGCGTAGTGCACCAGGGAGAAGTGGGCCTCTGCCTTGCCTTTGGCAGGCTTTGGTTTCTCAAACGCCTTTGTTTTCCCAAGATGCTGGGAGTACAGCTTGTCCTTGAAGGTAGTGTCTGAAGACTTGGGGAACATGCACTCCTCTTCAAGGATGGAGAATATGCCCAATGGCTTTACGAAAAGAGATGCATATCAAATTAGTGATATTTACATTTAGGATCACATTCCTTCAGTAAAAATGCTATTATAGTATTATGTACATTTAGGGACACATAATAGGAAACATATTGAGTTCTCAACAGTCAGATGCGTTGTAAAACTGTGATAATATTTCACACAGCGCTCCATATGAGCCTGCTGTTGCGGTCCAATATAATCCTCACAGACAGTTTACCTTCTCAATAAGCTCAATGCAGGCAGCCAAGTCCATGCCGAAGTCAATGAAGGCCCAGACGATTCCCTCCTTCTTGTACTCCTCTTGCTCCAGGACGAACATGGTGTGGTTGAAAAACTGTTGCAGTTTCTCATTGGTGAAGTTGATGCACAGCTGTTCCATGCTGTTGTACTGTTGATTGAGTTTTAAAAGGGATAATTTCATCATACAAGGCTGTAATCCATCTCAATCACAACTAATTATCTTGTTCTGGTCTCATACTCACATCAAAGATTTCAAAACCGGCAATATCGAGCACACCGATATAGAACTGCCTTGGCTGCTTGGTGTCCAACATTTCGTTGATACGAATGACCATCCACAAGAACATCCTCTCATAGATAGACTTGGCCAGAGCGCTGACTGAGTTATTAACCTGCAATGATAATACCTCAAATTAATACATGAGATATTGACCATGTCTACTGATAAGGTGATACGAGCTTGGGAAAAACTAAAGTATGCACTTGTCCCCAAAATAATTCCAGTGCTCAGAAAATGGTAGATGCTGTGTTTGGCCGCCTAACCTGAGGCACAGTCTGTCCCTTGGTCACATACTCATTGCCGACCTTCACTCTGGGGTAGCACAGAGCCTTCAACATCTCAGCTGAGTTCAGGCCCAGCAGGTAGCCGATTTTATCAGCCACTGGAGAGAGAACCAACAACAACAGACTCAGGCACACAAGATGGCTTGTTTCTGATGTCACACTGACAAAATAGTTTGGCTTACTTCTTTGTGGGTTAGGTTTAGATTTTCTCCCATATCCATAATTTCAAATCATTTCTGGAGGTTGGAATTTTGTCTTCACAAAAACTCCTGCCTGACTTTTATATGAAACTTACGGGTTCTACACTGGACGAACAAAACATTAGGAACACCTGTTCATTCTATGACATAGACTGACCAGGTGAAAGCTATGATCCCTTGCTGATGTTAAATCCACTTGTTAAATCCACTTCAATCAGTGTAGATGAAGGATTTTTAAGGCTTGAGACAATTGAGTCATGGATTGTGTATGTGTGCCATTCAGAGGGTGAATGGGCAAGACAAAATATTTAAGTGCCTTTGAACAGGGTATGGTAGTAGGTGCCAGGTGCACCGATTTGAGTGTGTCAAGAACTGCAAAGCTGCTGGGTTTTTCACGCTCAACAATCTCCTGTGTGTTTAAAGAATGATCCACCACCCAAAGGACATCCAGTCAACTTGACACAATTGTGGGAAGCATTAGAGTCAACATGGGCCAGCATCCCTGTGGAACATTTTCAACAGTTTTTAGAGTCCATGCCCCAAAGAATTGAGGCCGTTCTGAGGGCAAAAGGGGGTGAAACTCAATATTAGGAAGGTGTTCCTAATGTTTTGTACACTCAGTGTATTTCTATGTTTGGGACTGGGAATTGGACTAATGCTTTACATATTGTTTATCTGTGAGTGGGACTGGCAATGGGACTAATGCTTTACATATTGTATATCTATGAGTGGGACTGGGAATGGGACTAATGCTTTACATATTGTATATCTATGAGTGGGACTCACCCTCTGTGCCGTCTGGCTCGGCCTGCTCCTCACGCTGCTTCTGCTTGAATTTCAAGTTGCCATGGTGCAGTACAGCTCCTGTCAGCTTGTAGATGGCCTGCTTCTCTTCATTACTGAAGCCCAGGATTGTAATGGCATCCTGGCATTAAAGAGGAAGTACAACAGTGATGAACTGAACGGTAGTTTGGTATATAAAAAAATTAACACATGAACATTCCCAGCTGCCACCATGCTGGAATGTCACAGTGCATTCAGTGTGTATGGTGGTCATTACCCATTCCCTATCTAGTGTTTGGTTAACCCTTTGTTTGACTCACGTCTGTGGCATCCAGCTCGTCATTGTCATTGATGCTGGCCACAGTGATCTGACCCTGGCTGCACATGGGGAAGTCGTAGGGGTTGGTGGTGATGAGCGCCATTTCTGTGGACAACGGAGAACGGCTTGTCAGTTAAATCTCTTAGAATTGTGCTCTCCTACCTTTTACAGTATCTCTCCCTCCTTTACTCAATAGATGGACTCAAGGATACATGTAGTATATAATAAATAGCATCAAAAGAGGGGACTGAGACTTGTGGACTAGTGTGATCACAGTGCATTACTTGATAGATATTTCCCAAAGACCTGACCCATGTCTAGATGCCTTGTTACCTTGGATGTACTCATTGTGTTAGTTTTAATAGTGTGGACTATGGTGTGGAGGGGTTGAGGGTAGCTGAAGGATGGGACTAAAAACAAACAAAAGACAACTATTGTAAAATACATTGTGTCAGTAAATAGTATGTATAAACTGTAAATAGAAGCATAAGTGTTGTTGTCCATTAGTTTACTCCAATTAGGGGAGGGATGGTTTAGGGGAAAATAATAAAGGAAAATATATTGTACAAAACATATGGGGGATTGGAAATGATGCAGACAATTACATTGATGGAAGCCACAATCTATCTGCAATATTAAAGCTGATCTACCCCCCCCCCCCCCCCCCCCCCCAAAAAAAAGAAATGTTATTTATTTTTTTACAAGTTCCACAGATGGGGGTGGGAATAATTTCCTCTGAACCTTTACTTTGCCGTACCAACTATCTCAGGTTTGTGGTTGGTCATCATCTGGAAGAAGATGTGGTAGCCTCTCTCATCGGGCAGCTGGAAGGTCACTCTGGACTTCTCCAGCAGGTCTGAGGGAGAAAGAGAAAGAGAGATGAGAGAGTGAGAGAGAGAACATGAGATACATTTAAATTTGATGATCTCCAAAAAATAATCTGTGTGAATTTAGGAAAGCATTGAGAAACAATCAAAACCAACTCACAGGTCTCAATGTCAGCTTTAGCCAGTTTACCACCTTGGAAGTGAATCCTGATGAATTTACCCTATAGTAGAGCACGGGGGTTAGAAATGGGTCAACAAATAAATCTAAACTTTTTACTTTGATAGACCTCTTTTAAATGTTACAGTTTTTTGGACAGATGTTGGATCTATTGATACAGATGTAGGATCCAGTTTGCTACAGCAGGAAAATAAATCCTGCAGCAACAGGAAATGTGAATTATTATGTGGCTTGCAAATAATGAAAACAAATTGGTGATAAAACATTTTATTACCGCAAATGAAGTCTGAAATGTTAAAGTGCAACTATAGGGAACTACAGTAATACATTTTTCCAATATTAAATTAACTTCCACAGTATGTCCTTCATACTTACAAAGCGAGACGAATTGTCGTTCCTCACTGTCTTGGCATTACCGTAAGCCTCCAGCAGAGGGTTAGCTGCAATGATCTGATCCTCAAGAGACCCCTGATTGAAACAAACACAAGTTGCTCAGAAACTGGTAAAGTAATTTTTTCTTGATTGCTTGAAATGTGTTAAAAAGGCAAACATGAGCACAGCCTACCTGCATTTTGCCGGGGTCTGCTTCCTTCTTCTTCTCGCCACCAGACACTGCAATGGTGGCGAAGTACTGGATGACACGCTTGGTGTTGACAGTCTTTCCTGCACCGGATTCTCCACTGGTTTATATGACAGAGAAAGAGGGAGTTTAGGTACATGTTGAGTGTCAGATTGGCTTTCACTAAGAAATAGCATAGAAAAATACACTGTTGACCTGTTTTCTAATATTCCCATTTATCAACTCATTATTACACATAGCCTAATGCTCTAATCCATTCATAATGTCATGTATTTCATCACACCAAGAGACCCAACATATTACAATACAAACACTTTCTGAAGTGACATTTTAGTAAACAACTTACGTAATCAGGACGGACTGGTTCTCCTTATCTGTAACCCAAAAACATATTGCTTATCATACTCAAGCAACATTATGGGGACATTACTGCATTCATAGCATCATCACGAATTTCAATTTGGAACATATTACATTCAAGGCTAGTGAATTCAGATATCCCCAGCAAACTGTTCCAACCTAGACTAGAAAACAGTAGATACGTCTCTAAAACATATTTAATACTATTTATTTATCTCTGTAGCTCAGCTGGTAGAGCACGGCGCTTGTAACGCCAAGGTATTGGGTTCGATCCCCGGGACCACCCATACAAAAACAAAAAAAATGTATGCACGCATGACTGTAAGTCGCTTTGGATAAAAGCGTCTGCTAAATGGCATATTATTATTATTATCTATTTATAAACATTTATGGACTTTGAGATCAATATGCACTTATGGACATCCATCCATCCATCCATCCAACCATCCATCCATCCATCCATCCATCCATCCATCCATCCATCCATCAGAGCTCGTACCAATCAGCATGAACTGAAAGGCGTTGTCAGAGACGGAGAAGATATGGGGTGGAGCCTCCATCCTCTTCTTCCCTCTGTAGGCGTTGACAACCTCCATGTCATACACGGGGAGCCACTTGTAGGGGTTCACCGTGGCACAGAAGAGCCCAGAGTAGGTCTGAATGAAAGTGATTAAATTAAATTAGGGGATTTGCAAAGTCAGATGGACTTTTACCTGGATTTATGTGAGGATGTGGGTGTACTTTGGTATACTGATGTGAGTCTACTGTATTGATATGTTTTGGTTTCTACCGTTCATTTACAGTGGTGTCACTTTACTGAGCTATATTGTAGGCTGCACAATTATATTATTTTATATTAATAGAATTATTGAAAAAAAGTATTTTGTTTTTAACAAGTAATATATATTTCTCTCAAAAAGATAGGGGTCAACATTATTGAAGTCTATTTTCATGTCATCCGACCAAAGCACTGGTTCAAATCCAAGTTCCAATGCCGTTTAGCAAACTCCAGGCATTTACAGTTGTTGGATGACATGAAAATAAAGCTCTTTGGGTAAGCCAACCAGTGATGGGTTTGGCGCTGAAATTAGAATGCATGAGCACAAAATAACCTCATCCCTACTGTAAAATATCATGGTGGATCTTTGATGTTATGGAGCTATTTTGCTCCTCTGCTAGGAGGCTGAAACCTGGTCGCAAGTTAATCTTCCAGCAGGAAAATAAACCCACGTTCACATGAAAATCCACAATGAAATGGTTAATTGGCCACAAAATCAACATTTTGCAAAGGCCATGTCAGTCTCGGGACTTGAAACCCATTGAAAACATGTGGTTTGAATTGAAGAGGGCGGTCCATAAGTGTAGATGAAGGATATCAAGGGCCTGGAAGGATTCTGTATGGAGGAATGGTCTAAGATCCCTCCCAATGTGTTCTCCAACTCATAAAACATTTTAGAATACAGTATTTTTTGCTCTTGTTTATCAAGGGTGTCAATATTGTTGGACCCCACTGTATGTGTAGTACTGTATGTGTGAATTTATTATGTTCATGTATGTGTGTGTTTATATGTGCAGGTTTCTTACATAGATCATCCATGCTGCATAACGCTCTTTGAGGTTATACAACACAGAGGCTTCATTCAGGTAGGTCATCATGGCCATGTCCTCAATCTTGTCATACTTAGGGGGGTTCATCTCGAAGATGTCTGAATCTTTGAACTCTTTTCCTTCCTGAAACAGTCAGATATCAAGATTACACGCAGATCAAACTGGACGTGACTGAATGCTTTTTTGCTCATTAAATACAAGTTGAATCGTAAAAAAAAAGAAAATGCATACCCACATTTAATCTAACTACTTTGTTATCACCCACTGACACATACATGGTGATTCTTGACTAGTCAACATAAAAAATGTGTTATAAAATGTTATATACTGCCTTCAAACACCAATTAAATGCTTCTTTATATACAGTGACTTCAGAAAGTATTCATACCCCTTAATTTATTCCAGATTTTGTTGTATTACAGCCTGGATTCAAAATGTATTAAATATATTATTTTTTATACATTTTTTTACATTTATTGAAAATGAAATATCTCATTTACATAAGTATTCACACCCCTGAGTCAATACATGTTAGAATCATCTTTGGCAGCGATTACAGCTGTGAGTCTTTCTGGGTAAGTCTCTAAGAGCTTTGCATACCTGGTTTGTACAATAATTGCACATGATTCTTTTTTTAATTCTTTAAGCTCTGTCAAGCTGGTTGTTCATCATTGCTAGACAGGCATTTTCAAGTCTTGCCATATATTTTCAAACCAATTTTAGTCAACTGTAACTAGGCCACTCAGGAACATTCAATGTCGTCTTGGTAAACAACTCCAGTGTATATTTGGCTTTGTGTTTTAGGTTATTGTCCTGCTGAAATGTGAATTTGTCTCCCAGTGTCTTTTGGAAAGCTGAATAAGGATTCATCTAGGATTTTGCCTGAGCTTAGCTCTACTCTGTTTCTTTTTATCGTAAAAAAATTCCCTAGTCCTTGACGATGACAAGAATACCCATAACATGCATGATGCAGCCACCACCAGGCTTGAAAATATGAAGAGTGGTATTCAGTGATGTGTTGTGTTGGATTTGCTCCAAACATAACGCTTTGTCTTCAGGACATAAAGTTAATTTCTTTGCCACATTCTTTTCAGTTTTACTTTAATGCCTTATTGCAAACAGGATGCATGTTTTGGAATATTTTTCATTCTTTACGAGCTTACTTCTTTTCACTCTGTCATTTAGGTTAGTATTGTGGAGTAACTACAATGTTGTTGATCCATCCTCAGTTTTCTCCTATCACAGCCATTAAACTCTGTAACTGTTTTAAAGTCACCAGTGGCTTCATGGTGAAATCCCTGAGCGGTTTCCTTCCTCTCCGGCAACAGAGTTAAGAAGGACGCCTGTATCTTCATAGTGACTGGGTGTATTGATACACCATCCAAAGTGTAATTAAAATGTGTGTTTGTTTTTTTACCCATCTACCAATAGGTGCCTTTCTTTGCAAGGCATTGGAAAACCTCCCTGGCCTTTGTGGTTTAATCTATGTTTAAAATGCACTGCTCGACTGAGGGACCTTACAGATAATTGTATGTGTGGGGTACAGAGATGAAGTAGTCATTCAAAAATCATGTTAAACACTATTATTGCACACAGAGTGAGTCCATGCAACTTATTATGTGACTTGTTATGCAAATATATACTCCTGAACTTATTTAGGCTTGCCGTAACAAAGGGGTTGAATACTTATTGACTCAAGACATTTCATCTTTTCATTTTTAATTCATCCGTAAATATTTCAAAAAACATAATTCCACTTTGACATTATGGGGTATTCTGTGTGTGTGTAGGTCAGCGATACAACATCTTAAATTCACAACAACATTTTGAAAAATTCAAAAATACATTCTGAATTAGCTGTTGTTGTTTTGTTTTTTGTTTTTTTTGGGGGGGGGTATGTTTTGTTTCTGATTTCATATTGCCTGTTGACATTTTCTTTGATAATATTTAGAAGATTTTTCAAGGAATAGTGTGATTTTTCAAGGAATAGTGTGATTTTTCAAGGAATAGTGTAATTGAACAAACTTGAATACTTTTCAGCTCAGGCTTACCTCCTTAGTGCCATCAGGTTTGGTGACTGTCACAGTACACTTCCCATCGGCCCTGGCAGTGACCAGACCCTTAAGGTACAGCTCCGCCTTGTCTGTCACATAGCAGGAGTTCTTTGAATCAAAGGGTGCGGTTTGTGCCTCAATCCTCTCCCTCTCAGGCTTACGGAGGTATATGGCAGCCTTGCCGTAGATTTGCATCTCAGCGTCCGTACTCATGGTGACGGATCACTAGGAAAGAGATGAAACAAGAAACATGATTGACTCTGTGGTGCTTCCTCCCCAGTCAACAGAGTTAGATGAGCGGTATCTCTCAGAATATTGTCATCACTTTTATGTGAAGACTCAAACCATGTCTCACCTTCTTTTTCCCCTCCTACAGATGAATGTGTACTTCTTGGAGGACCCTATGGAACATTAGGGTGTTGTGAAAACGCACAAGTTTAAAGGCTCATCATTTAGCAATCAAAGGGTTCGAAAACATTTAGGCAACTCACTTTACTACACATTCTGTCATTCAAATAATTTCCCCTGAAAACCCAGTTACATTCTAGGCCACCCCCTCAATTTATGTAAATGAAAGATACAGTTTTGAAGTAACACATTTTAAACCAATGCCACTTTATTGCTTACTGTCCAATCTTACAAGAGACATGCAGAACTCAATTCAAACAGATGCTGAGTGCAAAGATGAGACAAATGTACAAATCTAAGGAGGTGGAGAGGTCTTACCACAGAGGAAGAAGGTATCTGACTTATGGATGCTGGGGCCTCAGCCTCCTTATATCTGGTTGGAAGTGCCAACCAAGCAGAAGTTAATTATGGACCACTCTGGGGAAGGACATGGACTGTAGGAGAGACCTCCCCCCCAGACCTGTGTGTCTGTCCCTAACTAGCACCTCCCACTTCCAGGAGCACCACACTCCCATTACATTACTTTTTAATGTCATATTTGTCCATTAATTGAATTTCACTGAATTTATATAAGAGAGATTTCATTACTAATAGTTATAACAATATCAGAAGTTTGATCTATCAAATGTATTCCAATGTTACTACCACTGACCCTCAAATACTGTAATGGAGTGAGTCCATGTTGCCCCACTACCACTAAAATAGCTTTCATGAATTCTAATCTGACCTTATTTAGTTCCATTTTAGTGGCATTAATCCTCATCAACAACTTTATATATATGTTCACCTATTGTTTATATTATTTAGCTCTGAGTGGCGCAGTGGCTCTAAGGCACTGCATTGCATGCTAAATGGCCTAGTATCCTGGTTCGATCCAGGCTCTGTCGCAGCCGGCGCGACCGGAGTAACTCATGGGCGCGCACAATTGGCCCAGACGTTGTCCAGGTAGGGAAGGGAATGGCCGGCATGGATGTTAGCTCAGTTGATAGAGCATGGCGTTTTTGCAACGCAGGGTTGTGGTTTTCGATTCCACAGGGGTTGTAAACACATCTGAACTGTCTCCTCACCTCATGCTTGTGACAGAGTTGGCCGTTACCTCGTGCTTTGCTTAGTTTGATTTATCACCCTGGTGGAACCGTATTTAATTAATATTGAAAAGCTAGAACATTAAATATTTAGGCTTTCAAGAACAGCTTATAAAACTGTTAAATCTAATGTGTTATTTGTCTACAGTATGATCTATTGAAGATTCTGGAGGCGCTTTTATTTGTCTCACATTTCAGTTGGCTAAAACGGTCCAGTAGGATTCTTATGACTTACATAACACCATACCAGTATTTCAACCATCTTATCCACTCATATTGCTGACAGTGATATAGCTGCCTTAAACTTTTAATACACTCTGAAGTAAACTGCTTAGCAGATGAGCTCGTTGATAAAAGTATATATATATATATATATTTATCTAAAGAAAAAAATTATAAGTTACACATTACATTTACTCTTATCCAGAGCGACTTACAGGAGCAATTAGGGTTAAGTGCCTTGCTCAAGGGCACATCGACAGATTTTTCACCTAGTCGGCTTGGGGATTAGAACCAGCGACCTCTCGGTTACTGTCACAACGCTCTTAACCACTAAGCTACCTGCCGCCCCAATTACATTAAACTGAATCCTTTACATTACAGTTTTTATATCTTTCTAAAAGACAGCTCTAGCAACTTGTAGAGGCATAGAAAGTTATTTTTAATACATGTAATTGAGCAAGTTCCTTCAAGTCAGGCATTTCACATTCTTCAATGTTGATCACATCTCTTCTGTTTTCAAACCTCTGCATTCAAATAGTAGTTTAAATGTGTTTTGTGTCTCATATGGTGCAGCTACTGTCTGTCAGGTAGAATAGGGAATCATGTCGGGGCGGCAGGTAGCTTAGTGGTTAAGAGCGTTGTGCCAGTAACCGAAAGGTCGCTGGTTCTAATCCCCAAGCCGACTAGGTGAAAAATATGTTGATGTGCCCTTGAGCAAGGCACTTAACCCTAAATGCTCCTGTAAGTCGCTCTGGATAAGAGCATCTGCTAAATGACGTAAATGTAATGTCAGCTCTATTCAATACATTTCTATCAGCAATGTTCAGAACTTTTTAACTCCCTGTTTGTTCAATCAATCAATCAAATGTATTTATAAAGCAATTTTTACATCAGCAGATGTTACAAAGTGCTATACAGAAACCCAGGTTCAGTGTCCACCCAGCACATCAGTACAAGACCCTCAATAGGGGGGAGCTGCTGGATGCACTAGTTGAGCAGGGGGCTGACCATCTGGAAGGACCCCATCAAGGCCTTTTCATTTCTTGGACTGTGCTCTCATCTTCACTACAGCCAAGGTTTATTGTTTGGTATATCTGCCAACACAGCCTAATTCTGGCACCGATGCCACTGTTATTAGACCAGATATTTACTTGCCGTGTTTGTGGGTGGAGAGAACATTAACACCATGCAGACTAAATGTTTATGACATTAAGTTATTTTAATATGCAAAGATCTTGCATGATATATGACCTGTGCAACTAGGTTCAGCTATGGGACGTTTTCTGTCAGAGCGGATGATCAGGGGGCAGGAACATAAGTATAATATTTTGTACTCTACAAATTGACCACAACTAAGCCCAAAAAGAGATTGTATTTGAAAATAACAATAATTTCATACCTTGATTACATTGGGACACGATTACATCTCTTTTTTTATTTGTGGGAATACTTGGGAAAATATATCCTAAATTAAACTATTTTCTACCAGTGATTTCACCATTTTTACTAAAAATGTTAAAAACACTACAAAAACAATCACTTACTTTGGAAGGCCCCAAGAAATCACTTGCTGGCTGGTTTTGGCACATGGGCTGCCTGTTGCCGAGCAATTGGGAGTCCTATAGGAGTGAGTCGATTCGATTAAGATGGCCCGACTGCCCAGCTGGGCGTAGTTTGCACAGGGTGAAAAGGGATTGCATTCGTTTTGGAACCAAGCTGCCTTGCAAGACCCCGTTCAGGTCAACGGTAATGTCGGCTCAAAACGAAGGTGACGTTGGTTAAGCACATGGAGTAATGAGAAGGATTCTGGGTTGGCACTAGCAAAAGTGATTGCTTTTGATAAAAACTTTACATCTGCCTTCCCAATAAAAAATAGTTAGAAAATTCGAACATATACAGTATTCTATGGAAAATGGATATTGCATGTTTCTTAACAATGCATCATGCTGCATTGTTGACAATATGACTAAACGGCGCGGATTGCTCTTCAATTTGAGCAGGGTGCGCTTCCCTCACCTGCTTCACTTGGTCACGTGACAGGCCATACCTCGGTGCAACCCAGGCCAGTATAATCGAATCCCCTCATTGGCATAACCCTTCACAACAAGTTGATTTAGCTGAAGCCGCTGTGTTAGTGCTGGGATGGAACAAGAGCCTGCACACCATGTGGATGGGCCGTCCAGAACAGGAGTTGCAGGCCCCTGATATACTGTTATTAACTGACAGAAGTCATTAAGCAGTTGAGTAAACTGTCATTATAAAACTGGTATAGTACATATTTGATACATTTTAGCAGGGCCTTGGGAGGATTGAATAGTAACTCTTGATCCAATATATTTTAAGAGTGCTTTAAAAGACTGTCTGTTCCCACAAAGTAGTTTATCACCACAGACAGGATGTTGGCTGAGACACCCCACAGCCAGTTAAAATCTAAATCTGGATGTGAAATGTCAAGTTGTGGCATGGTTCCAAAAAACAACCAAGCTTGGCTCGGTTAATTCAGATTTTATTTTCCAGGTCATATTTCTCACTGTAAATCTATTACGGTGTCAGCAATGTGAGGACCTCATGGTCGACTAATAAGGTCAGAATAATGTGCTGGCCTGTATCGGATCTCTCTGTGGTTATGAGGTCTTCACTTTCAGCATGCAGTGTCAAGTCAATGGGGGGCTAAATGTAATAGTAATCTAAAACATTTACAAGGATGAACACATGGATCAAATGGGGAGCTGTTGTGTTTTTCAGCAAGCTTTACAGATCTTTGGACAAACAAGTAGTCCAAATTATTACCCCCTTTCAGTGACCTTCTCCAAACATGGCAATGATCCAAACTGGGTGTCAGAAATACATAAAGCCTAAAGTTGTTTTGGATTGCTTTATGAACCTCTGTCATAGAGATGGTATCAAACCACATCTGCTGAACTGTTCTTGAAACTACAATTTGATCCCATAAAGTCGATGCAGAGTTACAAGAAGCGTACCAAAGCAACAGATAATGTTCAGAAACAGCTGTGTCAGAAATCCCTGAACTCCCCCTCAGCTGCAGCTGTTGGAACACAAGCGTCTCTGGGGAGCAGGGGACTCATCCTAGCCAAGCCTTTTGGAAGAGTCAGGACAAGTGACCGCCCAATCCACTAGATGACCCCGCCAATGATCAATGTTTAGAAGTGTAACCCTTCACATCCAGTCGCACTATTGGAAGACTGATTTAAATCATGGGAAAAATGGAGTGTTCCTGTCTGCCTGTGAATGAGTTGAATAGAAGGTTGTCCAGTTTAACTGCTGCTTTGGTAATAGCCTTGACCTCTATGGCAGCTGTTATATCTGGGATGACTGAAGACCTGATGATAGGAGCCTCTGCTTTATAGTCCTGCAATGTATCCCACTTAAGAGTAGGCTTAACTTTAATATCAATTATCTCAATAATGTTGTACTCAACCTGTTGGATCAGAACCAGGGTTGTGTTCATTAGGCCCAGTGTAACAAAACATTCCAAAACATATTACACCATACCAGAAATCTTAACCACGTATATTGCTGACAGCGATACAGCTGCCTCAAACTTTTATTACACTCTGAAGTAAACGTGTATATATATACACAGTGCCTTCAGAAAGTATTCAGACCCCTTGCCTTTTTCCACATTTTGTTATGTTACAGCCTTATTCTAAAATGGATTTT